AATCCAGAATTTGTTTAAACAAACAAACAAACAAAATATATATACACACACACACATATATATAAATAAAGCACACACCATACATATTTTTGGTGTGTTTCACTGTATCAGGAAAAATTCCATAAAACTCCACAGGCAGAATAAAGAGGTGATGAGAGTGGAGAAACTGGGAACAAGACCTCCCCATTTGGGTAACTACCTGCTTGTAGCCTTGCAGCTGCAGCCAGGGAAATGCAACCACTTTCTTACTGAAGCACCTACCTAAATGGGCTCCTATCTGTGGAGTCAGACAAGTGCCAGCAGCACAGGACAGGCAGCAAATGCTGCAGGGGAAGGAGGGATAGAAGCACAGGAGTACGTCAGCCTAATGTTGAATCACCCATCATTTACTCCTTAAGGCTAAACAATAAATGTTAGATGCTGGGATTTAGGGAGGGGAAAAAAAAAAGGTAACAGGATATGGAAAGTTATTTATACTATCATTATCTAGGAGAAAAAAATATAGAAAAAAAGCAAATTCTAGCCTAAAGATACTGATAAGATGAATATCAGAGTCAGAAATGAAAAGTTACCAGAAAGATATAGCACTGACTGACAAGTTATTAGCAAGTTGCACAGAAACATTTGGTGAGAAGAAAAATAAAAGTGTCTTGCACACTGCTGGTATTAAGGCTCTTCAAAAAGCATAGGCACTCACTGTCAGAAGCTGAGGGCCTTCTAGTACATGTACCATAAGCTGTGTACCTGCATCTATGGCAACACCACATGTTAGAATGCAAGAACACTGCTGCCCTTCCACTGCTATTTTACCATTTTCTCCTCTGAAGGAGCCTCAGAGACTCACTCCAATGGAATCAGTCCAGAAGGGCCATCAGGACATCATTCCACAGCTCTGCTGTAACCTAGACAATCCTCTTCTCCACTGTTTCATTTTAAAGAGCTGGAACAATGCATATATTTCCAGTGGTACCCAGGAGCTAACAATACATATCCATTGATGCTAAAATAACTTCATTACTAAGATAAAAAAAAAAACTCAGGTAAATTGAGCTATAACAATATGTGGACAAGACAGCGTTGAGAATAGGAAAAGAAACATGTTTGGTCCTGTTTTTGCCTGCCACCTCCATCCTAAACATTAAAATAATTTGCTGCTGTAGGAAACTGACTTATACTGCATGAGCCTCGGTGGCAAATAACCCCTGGACGGTTTTATGCCTATGGTAATTGTCAGGTATGCACTGACTGTCAACGTTAACTGCAGTCAGTAAAGTGCAATTATTATGCATAGTTAAGCATTGATGAGTATCTTCTAATTTCTGGCAGATAACTAAAGGACAACAACATAACAGGGACAGCAGTGGTGAGATAGTAGGGAGACAATAAGTAAAACGTCAGAACAGAGAAGGATGCAGCCCGACTGGTTATTGCTGGAACTATACTTCAAAGAAAGCTACTTGAATTAGAAGGAAAATTGAGCAGCAAATATGAAAAAGGGAGATCTTCCTCCTCGGTGGCTTATGTTCAAGGAAGAAACACATAAAAACAGGAGAAGGAAAAGCCAGAGAAACGGAGGCTCTCCTGTGCTTTTGGACACTTCAATACTACAAAAACAACTATCAGTTTTTAAAGCCCTCAGGAGACCATACATAGAGCTCACTCTAGAATAAAAATGAAAAGGTGCCAAAAGAACTCAGCATTTCAGTCCCTTTATCACCACCAGCACAAACCTGTTATATTTAAATAGCATTTTTTACTATCAAATCATCTGACAAGATTACAACTAGTAAGTTTTTCTGGTTCTGGCCAATTTAAGAGGCCAGAGCGTCCAGAACGTCCCTTAATGTAAAGTATTATACACGGTAAATACACTGTGCCTGTGGTCACACATTGAAAAAGCAGCGAAGATCCCAACAGCTCCTCTCAGTGAGGGGCAGTGAGCTGCAATATTCACAGCACAAAGCAATCCTTTGCTCCTTCATTCCAAATATCAATTTCTTTTCCCACCTACCCAGTTCATCTTCTGCCTCATTTAATAGCTCAGCTCCTTTTTCACTAGCCATAAAATAAAGGTCTGACACTTTCTTGTTTCTCCTACGAGCAGCTTCGGAATGTTCCGGATGTGAAAAGCAAGTCTGCATTCCTGCAACCTCTACAACTTTATAATACACAGGATAAATAACAGCATTTAACTGCCATAGCTGGATTTTGGAGGCAACACAATGACTGGTTGTCTTTCTCTTAGTATTAAACATACACTCCAGCTATACCCTTTGACCTCTGTTTCAGCTCTTACTTGAAGTGCAACACTACCATGGTGGCCTATCATCTTTCAAAAGTTAAAAATTCAATGATAGTGTTGCTGATAAGAAGGAATAGTGGTGGGAGGAGACATTTATAGAGGAGAAAAAAATGAAACAGTAAAGATAGAAGCTGGGAATAGAGTGACTTAACTGATGAAAGATCTTAGAATGTAATGAGAAAGTGAGGAGAAGCTTTAAAATCACTATTTAAAAGTTCTTTAATGTTAAGGATATTTTGGCTTCTTCAGTCCTCTGAATGGAGAAAAGCATGTAAATATTTTTAGCAGAGTTTTAGTTTCTCATTCCATTCCTCTTCTCTTCATAAATGGAGTAAAAAATACCTTCCAATTTTAAAAATACCATAGTACTTAATTTTAAGGTGGCACTTAAGTATAGTGGATGCTCTTCTTACTTACAATGTTATATATATTGCTGCATCCATACAGGCAAGACGTTACATGTCAGAAGCAATGGGCTGCTTGTACAACTTCTGCTTTACTAAGTGGGAGAAAATTGAGCAGAGCCACTAGCAAAGACTTTTTTTCCACATCAGGAAAAGGCAGAATAGCAAGTGGAAACCAGAAATGGATTCGGGGTGGAGAATTTTTGATACATCTAAAATTGAATAATTAGTTTCCTGTGAAGTAGTTATTGCAGTAATGAGTCCAATTACTCAGTAAGTTTTTATACTACATTTCTATATTTACTCTAGTGAACACAAAGAAAAGAACCATTAACTAATGTTGCTTGTAGCAGGAGTGTTTGCCAGTCAGGAAGAGGACACTTAAGGCTAAAATTATATCTCACAAATTCTGGTCTACATTTTTTGTAAATATCTCGGAATAAAATGTTGCTAACTGGGAATGAGAAATCTTGTTGACTTATGATTTTTATTTCTTTAAATCTAAACTAGAATAAATCTAACAGATGTGAAAGAAAAAATGCAAGCAAACATTGGTTGAACAACTTCAATTTGTTCTCATGCAGTTCCACATTACTGTAATTAAGAATTATGTAAAAGAAACATACAACCTGTTAGTCTTTTATTTAAAACAAACAAAGCAGAAAGCATAGCAAGAACCTACCTTTTCTTCTTGATCGATGATGACAAAATGTTGTCCTGAATTGCCTTACATTTTGCATCCAGCTCAAACTGGTAAATTCCATCTTTATTAGCAGTTGTTCTGTTAAAAAGATGGAATGGGAAAAAAAAAGCAACATACTTTTAAAAAGAATATATTCTGGCAGAGCTGCTGCATTTTCTTTGCTGTGACAATAAGATGAATAACTGGTGATTTAGCTGAGAGCATTTCCAAAGGCATTTTATTCACTTCTACTGTGAAGCTCTTGTAAAGGGAGGCTGTGCTGCTAGTGACTACAGTGTATATGATTCTTTCAGGAAACTCTGTTTTATAGAATGAATTGTATTTTCTGCTTTACATGATAATTAGAAAAATGTAATTAAAAAATAAATGAAACAGGAAGCCTCTTAAACATTACAAAGATTTTAAAAATATTCATATTTGAAATATTCTAGCAGATGTGATTTCCTAATGCTGTTGTTGAACTGTGATACTCAAAACCAATATAATATACATAGGAAACACCTCTGGGGAGGTTGATCTTTTTACTTGGACTTAAATTAATTGACTTGAGATTAATACTTACTCCCTTGTTTATTCTTTATTTACACAGAGAGAATAAATGTTTGTAAAAGGAACCAATGCATATGCCAGACAGTGATCTTTAACTCCCGTTGCCTCATTTTCACCAAAATCCTGCATGGTCCTCGTGCTCTGGCAGTCCTGGTAGAAGATTGAGCTATAAATTAGCAAATGACTGAAATACCAAGCTTTTACTCAGTTCACCAAGTATCTAGGTTTAATCTCGTATAATCACCTTGTTCTTCCATCAAACATCTATTGAGCGTATTGCCACTTACCATGAACTTCTTTCCTCCATCACTTCTACTTTCATTGTTCCTCACCACCTCCACACCACATCTGCCTCACTACTTACAGAGCACTTGGATACTGTGGCCTGTTTCCCAAACCTGAACTAGAAATGCAGGAGACACAGATGCTCTCATTCACGCCTGAGTGTGAGCTGCAGCACCAAACAGAGCCCGTTCCTAGAAGCACAAGGGTCTTCCTGCTTCATACACAACACAGTCTGCTTCTGCATCATCATTCTTTAACTAACAAGGATCAAAACTCATTGCCTTCACCTCCTAGAACACTGAGACTACATATCTACAAGATTTCTGACGAGCAGCTCTTACTTGGGAAAGATGCCATTTCAAGTCACAGAACGATTGAGGCTGACAGGGCCCTCTGGGCCCACGGAGCCCAGCCCTTGCTGCAGCAGGGCCGCCCAGATCAGGTGCCCACACCATGCCCAGGTGGCTTCTGAAGATCTCCAAAGGAGACCCCACACACAGCCCCTGGGCACCTGTGCCAGTGCTCCGGCACCCACACAGCACAGACTGCTCCTGGGGCTCAGGGGGAATTTGAGTTCCAGCTCACGACCACTGCCTTTTGTTACACCATTGGGCATCTCTAGAAAGAGTCTGGCTTCATCTTATGTACACCCTCCTTGTAGGCATTCATACACATTGATGAGTTCCTCCTGTACACACTCTTCATAAACAATTAAGATCTTAAACAATTCAAATGGGAAGCAATCTGAAGAAGAAAGAGCAGAATAAATATTTGTTTATTCTGGTACTAAACTGTCTGGCATTTTCATAGCTATGACAAGGGAGGAAACATAATAAAACACCTTTTCTTCTCATTCCATTGCCCATAATTTTCCATAAACAGGGGGCAACTCAGCCATGAAGCAAAGCTGCAGAGAGAGATCAGCTCTCAGCATCTTTCCACCACCAAGGAGCTCTTCCCAGCACATCCAGTGCCGCTAGGGAACGATGCAGTCTGCACATCCCTTGTTGAGGGGAAGGTAAGAACACAATGTAAACCCCTGTCCTTTCAATTCTACAGAGGCTGTAACAGACAGTAACAGCTGGCACTACCTGCTGAGAGGTCCACTGCTGATTTCGCATCCAGCTTTCTTATCTAATTATTTCTCAACAACTGACATACAAATGTGAAGGCAGAAGGCTCTCAAAGCACGCAGTTCAGAGGGTCAGGTGCACAGCTCCACAGACCTGACACAGTAAGTGACAGCAGATGTCCTGCTTACAACCCAGGTACATGGGTTTACTGCAGCTTGGCCCAAGTGTTTCTGTGCAGACAGAAGCAGCAGGTGGACCAGTTCCCAAACAACTTCAGTTAGTATAAATCATGTTTCCTCTGCCATGCTTCTAAATAAGCTGAAAACAACATTTCTGAAGGCACAGTTTAAACAAAATGGCTATAAGCAAAGCTTAGCTGTACAAAAAGTCTCTTAAAGAAAAAAAAGAATGATTATTATAATAAATCAAGTGCATGTTACTGATGTAAATGGTCTTTTAAGGCAGCTGAGGAATTGAGACACCAGATGCTGGCTGGACAAGTGGCCACAGCCCTCCTGGGCCACAGCTGGGCAGAGGAGAGACCTCCAGCACAGAGTGCTGGGCAGGCAGAAGCTGGCTGGCAGCTGCACCCAGACCACTGCTGGGGCACCTGCAGGCACAGCTGGAGGACGACCAGCCTGCCACAAGCAAGATTCTGCTGTGCGCAGGGACTCACTATAAGATCCTTACAGCTTCCTGGTAATTTATGTCCTGAGGTCAGCGGAGGTGGTGAATAACATTCTCTCAACCAAATAAAAGCTTTAATCAACAGACTTCTAACATTTTAAATTCATAGCGTTGTGATCAACTGAAGTGAGTTGTCTTGTTTATTTCATGTGTAATCGTTTTTTATGCATGCATTTATAAGACTTGAAAAATTCAAGAAGGAAAAAGTCAGATAAAAAAGAATGAGCAAAATAAATTACAGTTCCTTTTATTTTTTTTTCATTAAATCAGTTTTAAAACTGTCAGTGGGAGGAAAAGCAACAAGGAGCTTTCCCTTTCCCCAACCCATACAAAGATTGGTGAAAATGGCTCCAACATGATTTTTCACCCAAATTCTTTATCCATACAATGCAGGCAGAAGACAAATCACCAAAATACTTCTTCTGTGTATTCTTCCCTATAAAATTTACTCGAGAGTCTTTATACAGTGCAGAAAGATACATAAATAAAATTATTTTTATAAGACACACCAAACAATGACTTCTTCCAGTAAAGGTGAAATTTCTGAGTGCCTATTTCATCATTAGAGTGGCTTCTGCTTCACATGAGTGGAAAATTTTTGCATTCAAACATAAAGGGATGTGGAAGTGGCATTCCAGACTTCTCCTGCATTATTCATAGCGGAGTTATGCAGACATCAGACTCAGATTAGATTTCTCATCATTTTGGACAGTCATGCTAGGCAACATTTATCACTAAATGAATTTATCTAGATGATGACAGTCTCAGTACAACACTGAGAACTGCACTACAACTTCTTCAGTGCAATGAGATAACGTGCTCGTGGGTTGGTGACATGCAGCTCATTTTGCAAACTCTTAAACTAAATGAGAACTCAAAGTGAAAACCACGTTACATTCTGTTGGCTTAAACATGCAAAACAGACGAAATGGCCATTTCTGCTAAAATTCCCTTAGATTGCTAGATGTTCTCAAAGCCAACTTTATTGACCCAAATATGGAAGGCTTTTTTTTTTTTTTTTTTTTTTTAAATCACATACTAACAGCTTGAGAGCCACATCCTTCCTATGACAATTCTAGGTACTCAGAAAGTACACCATCTGTACTTCAATACAGCCACAGTACGTTAAGATCATATGCCATATTTATCAGCATGTTGTTATTCTATATTTTACTCACAGTAAGACAACATACAACATTTCCTTAAGCCGCAAAAACCTGCAAGACATGGATTGCACCCACTTCCATGCTGTAACAGACTTCAGATGGAGCCTAGGTCCTGAGAGTCACTTGACACAAACAAAATAGAAGTTTTAACAAAAAAAAAATCAATGGGAAATGAATTGCCCATGGCAAATAACCTCTAAGCCTGTGTGTCCAGCTCAAAAAGCACCTGCATTTCCTTGGGAGAATGGTGATAAAAAAAAAAGAAAGAAAATAGGGAATTAGGAGAAAAACAGTCATCCGATCATCCCATTTGTAATCATGTTCTACCAACTGGACTGGAGAAGTAGGTTGTTCTAGGATACCCCTAGAAACTGAGAAACTATGAGGGAAATGCAGAGTCCGTTCTGCTGTGCCTAGAGCCTTCAGCTCCGAGACTAGAAGGAGCCGTAGTGCAGGGAATCACCAGGTAGTTCTGTTAACATGGAATCTGAGGGGAGTGGTGACACAGCAAGAAAAAGAAAAGCAAAAGAAAAGGGAAGCCCTTTAAAAACAAATTCATCCCTCCGCCCACAAAAACAAAACAAACAAAACAAAACAAACAAACAAAAAAAACCCCACAATAATCAGAGTACGAAAATGGATATAGGGTAAAAGGGTGAAAAAAAAAAAAAAAAAAAGATAGACAGTAGGAAAAAATAGGGGAAAAAAATCAGAAGCACAGTGCTGTGAATTATACTATAACAAAGATATGCCCTAGGCTGACAGGCCAGTCCTCTAAATTCCTACAAAAACAGTTGTAAAAATTGAAAGAATGTGGGATGAGACTTTCAGAAGACTTCAAGACCAGGCTGACTGGCAGCACTAAAAGCAACAAGAATTTCACCCCTAATTTCAGAGGGAGATAAGACCACACTCCACCAGATTTTCCATCAGAGGAAAATCCTACCAACTGGCTTTATTTACTCCTTGCCCAGCAGAACCCTTCTGTCTTCCCATTCTTTTCTCCCTGAAACAGGGCAGAAACTCTTAAATGTGTACCAGTTGAGCTTCTCCAGCTAAACAAGGCAATTTCTGCATGCAAAGCTGTACATTTATATCCTTCTGGCATCAAACAACACCATACAGATTGTGAATTCCTGCTGACTTACTTTCTCCCTTGTAAAGATTCATTTATATTTGAATCCCATACTCAACTAGTTGAATACTAGTCGTCAAAAACCTGTAACCCACACTTCCCTAGCAAGGTTGCTTTTTGTTGCTATCTTTGACACCACTTCAAATGAATCAGATGATAAGAATATAGCAATGCTTTTAAGGTTCACAATACCTTGATTAATAAGGCACTACACCATTTAAATATTTGGTGAAATGGACTATAAAAATGGCTCTATCAAGCTATAGGAGTAAGAATTTGTCTTGTAACATTAATCACAGTAACTGTGAAAGAGACCTATCCTACTATCCTTGTTCAAGTTCCCAGAGGTTTTGCTTATCTAAGGAATGCTAAATCAGGTCTTTAAGACAAGCTGCATTCTGAAATTATTTGGTAGACCTTCAGTGCATTCACCAACATTATACATAACATCAGATATTTTTTATTTATAAAATCCATTAACTGCATGACATACAACATGACAAGCAATATCCAGACTCTCATAGCAGGTAAAGTGAAAAAAATAAGGTACTTACACCAAAATGATGTTACAACAGTGTGTGATAGACAGAATGACAGAGCAGCTTCACTTGGACCAAGTAAACAGAACAGAAAAAGGCTGGGAAACCTTTCACCACTGTCAGAACATAAATATGCCCTGGCAGCAGCTTTCAACTGAACACCTATTCATTTAGACAGAACTAATACATGAGGCACGCATTAGAAATGTGCTCTTAAAATATGTCTGCATGCATCACTTGGAAATGAGGGGAATGAATACTAAGACAGCAGTAAAATTAGTAAAGGGCCACCAATGCTGACTAATCTAAACTGTAGCAAATTGTTTGTGCAACACACTATGCTACTGTTTATAATCTCCGTAATAGTCTGCCTCTTCTTCCCTTTCTGCTTGCCAGAATGCAATATTTTGACAGCAGACAGAATGTACAGGTCTCTGTAGCATAGTTAATTAGGAATAGTTGTTTATTCCCTAGGCCTGCATAAAGATCTGCTGCTGAGGGAGGAATTGGAGAAATGAGAATTGTGAAACACTGTATCAATACTAACTTGTTTACTCATAGCTCCTCAATCACTTCCTCCCACTGCTCAATTACCTCAACAGTCTCTACCCTGCGCTTGCCTTGAACCTGCAACGACAGAGATAGCTAGGAAAATAGTAAGCAAAATGCCCTAAAATAAGCGATACAAACTGCTGCCTTGTTATTATCTGTACATAAAATGCATACACATAGTGCTTGAGAAGACTATTTTCACCTTCCCTGTAGCAGCTGGCATTATTTACCTGCTCCACATGCCACGAAAGGAGCTAGAATTTCAGGTTTAACTTAGCGCGCTCTGAGCTTCATGACAGAGACAGTACTGCTCAGATCCTCTTATCACAGACATCCTCCCCTGAACAGCACTAGCAGCCCTGAGCCTTCTGTTTTAGTGTTAATGCTGAGATGACACAAACATGTATACTATCACAAACGCAGGCAGAGAGAGAGAACCGAGCATCTAAAGGTGGGACAAGTGCAGGACTGCTTTTGGTTGCACTGTTGGCTTATGCAAGTTTAAGCCATACCTGCAGGTACAGCTTAAAACACGAGAAGATGGTATAAGGCACAGGCACGATGATTTGCCAGAGAACGACGATTCTGCAAAATAAATGATACTGCTCACATGGAGAAATCTGGGGACTGCTAAAGAAATCTGATTAACAATGGTTGTGTTTTCAGTAAGAAACCCTTCTACAACAGATACAGACCGTGAAATAAGCCCAAATCAAAAACTGGCAATCACACTGTAGAGGCAGTCACATCGATTGAGATTTCTAACATTTAACAAGGAAAAGACGTATGAAATGTTCTGTAAGAGCCAAACCACATCTTCAAGGTTACTAAGACAGATCTTCAGAGAACTTTAGGTGCCTAGTCGCCATCTAATTAAACACTGCTGTGCATGGCAGCTGCCTAGAAATTTAAGGCATTCTGAACCAATCTCCTACTTTTCATCCTTTCATCCTTCAATTTCATCCTTGTAAAAGAATTACTCAAACTGAAAGAGCAGATTAGCTTACATTATTGCAAGGCAGTAGTACAATAGGGGCTTGGAGATTCTTCAAGAGATGTTTGATTACAAATCTGCATCCAACAGCAAAAGAGATCACAATAAGAGCAGCGGTTTGTTTATGATACTTGAAAATCATCTACTAACTGACTGGAGCTCTACATGGAAAATGACTTTTTTTTCTTCTTTTAAATTTCCTCCCATCAAAGCTAGGGACAAAAATATTTGCTTGCCAGAGAAATGAGTTCGACTGATGAAGTGATTAGGGTTTAACCTGACACACATGCACACTCTCTTATGCAGGACGGGACACAACAACAAGGCACTGCTATTCAAACCATCAGGGTATTTTAGGAGAACTACACTTGGAAAGCATGCATCAATAGATTGTTCATAGGTTTTAGCATCACCATACTAACACTGCCTCATTTGAAAAATTCACTAATACCTACACAGCACATTTCAGTCACGGGCTCTTTGCTGTTTTGCTATAATCATGGATTCTGCAGCAGAATCCCACTGAAAACTGGAATCTAATTCCTCTTGCCCACATCATCCACCTCCTTCATGGAGGTGGTCTAAATCTCCTGAATGAGTCCAGATGCTCTCCGGATCGCATCTCTCCAGCATGGCCCTCAGCCAGGCCCTGTCCAGTTGCTGTCTGAATCAAATCCCTCCAGCATAGCTCCCTGCCCACTCCAGCTGCACTCTGGATTAGGATACAGCCCCTGGTCACTCTAGCAGCTCTCTCCTTCAGATACCAAATGCACCACATGCTACTGTCAGGACAACCTATTGAGCACAGCCACCCATGTGAGAAAGAACATCCCCTCCTTGGTTCCACCAGCCAGCCTTCCCTCCAAAGACACTACAGCCATAGGAGATACAGTGAAATGAAACTTTTCAGACAAATAATCTACTTGTTGCACTTCTGCAGTCACTAAACATACAATTTCAGGCTGAGGAAAACTAGCTCCAAATTGGTGTCAAAATCCTCCAAGCAGTTTAACGAAAAATATTCATTTAAAATCTCATGCTCACTTGCCTTATTACAGAGATTACCAGCTGACCCATACATGCCATGATCTTTCATCCCTCTTCAGCATGTGTTGCTTACACTTTCTTTGCTTCTGTTGTGAGTGCACTAAGAGCAGGTGGGAAGTGGCTAGGCTCTGTTCTCTGAAGTGCTCTCTGCCAGAATTTCTAGTCAATTTGACTCCATGGTTTAGCACAGAGATGAATGGCAGGAGGCTGCAGCTTGGAAACTAACTGGAAAAGGCTGAGTACGGGAAGACTGTTGCAAAAGGAAACCATAGACATAACACAAAACAGAGCAGAAATGAGAAAAGAGTGACAGCTATAGAGCCCAAAGCAAAACAGAGCACATATAGCAAACCAATAGCAAGAGGTGGAAAAGAAGGAAAAAAAGCAGAAAGGGACAAAATTAACACAGGAAAGAGAAGCAGGCCAGAAGATCTTAACAGTAGTTAGAAGCCTGCTCCTGTTCCTTTTGTTTCACTCTAATTCTGAATGACATTTTAAACTTATAGTAGTTCCAAATTTTGAAGCATGGAGCACCAGAGCTCTCACTTGATACGTGTGAGAAACCACATGCTGCGATGGTTATTAAGACTATTGTCCCTTGGATTCACTTAGGGAAAGCATACGCTATTTCAACCACACATTTCAGGAGGCTGCGTGAAATGTTGGTCTCAGTAAGGCTCACTGCACTGTCACCACTGACTTCAATAAAGCCAGGACATCACAATTTCAGTTAAAGACCCAATTCCCAATTTCCTTCTATTTTTATAACTGGAACTACAATGTTAATGAGGCTATTTAGTGCAGAAGAGAATAGCAAAATATTTACAAACTACTTCTTACACAGCAACATCTCATGTGTGAATGACTCCATCCTCTTCTGCACTATTACTTTTCCTACAGTGTATGAAGACTCAAGAGAACAAAAACGTTGTGGTTAATGCTGATAATTGCTCACGCAACTTGTTTGACGGTTTATTCTACCGATTATTTTCATATGAACCTTCACAGTATGAAATAACAGGCAGCAAAGCAAAGCTCCAAGTTGGTGTAAACGATCAAGGCGTGGGATCAGATGGAAGGACTCCTGAGAAGTAAGACACTGTACAAAATGAAAGAGCCTTCATATACCTGGCCTTTGGGAGAAATCCGCGTTTTTAATAAAATACGCATTCCAAAATGATGGTGATGCTACCCGGCCCCAGCTTCCTGGGGAGGAGAATAAGAGACACCTGGCACACAGCATCCAGGATTTCTACATCGTGTGGCAACAAAGCTGTCCTACACAACATCTCACCGGGCTCAAAACCAAAGACAGAGTGACAGCCGTCATTAAGAGGCCCTATTAGCAAATAATATAAAGAAGTTAACGGGAATTTCCACTCTCTCGATCTAACTAAACCCCTACGCTCCCTCCGATTGAGCTACTCGAAAAAAGATGCGCGAACTGAAACAAGCTCCCACACCCCTTCCCGAGCAAACCGCCCCACCAGCAGCCGCAGCGCCGAGCCCCTACCTGTTCTCGGCCCGAGGAAGGGACGTTAGAGGAAACCTGAGGGCTCGCACCACCTTCGGAGTGACGGTCGCTGCCTCTGCCTCCTCCTCCCAGCCCCTGGCAAACAAGACGGGATAACAAAAGTTGTCAAAGCCGGCGAGAGCCGCCACCGGGCGACAGCCGCTCCCCGCCGGGCGCTGCCCCGCCGGCTGCCGAGCCGCGAGCCGAGCCCACCGCGCGGGACGGAGCGGGCTCGCCCCGTCCCGCTCCTCCTTCCCCGGCCGCCCCCGGGCTCCCCCGCCCCGGAGCGAGGTCCCCCGGCCCCTACCTGGCTCGGAGGGGCCGCTCGCCGCCCAGCCGCAGGAGGCAGCCGCCGAGCAGCGTGCTGCCCAGCGCCGTGGCGAAGGCGATGACAGCCCGCATGGTGCGCTCGGCAGCGGCTCCCGCCGCAGCTACGGCCGCCCCATAGTATTTAAGGGAGGTGGCGGGGAGGGGGAGGCGGCCATGGCAGCCGCGGGTGCTCTCCGCCCCGCCCCTCGCCCGCAGCCCTGCGCCGCCGCTATCGGCCCGCTCCCGCCTCGGCGCCGCCCGGAGCTGCGGGCCCTGCCCGGCCGGGAGCCCTGAGGGCACACCGCCCCTTCCGCCCCTCGGGCGGGCGGGATGCTGGGGCTGGCGGCCGCCATGGGTGCTGCTGCCTCCACCGGACGAAGGGGAAGGCCGTGCTGGGGGTTCGCCGAGGGGTTACCGGGGGAAAGTGGGCGGCCTGCCCCGGCGTCCGGCACGGACGGGTCGCTGTGCTGTGGTGTTTCTTCATGTTACGTACAGATTACACCGAGCACGTTCTTTATGTATAGAACACCTTTACAGTGCTTTGAGTAAATGAACGTCTGCCTGCAAGCTCGCATGCTCTTTTTGAGCAGCTGAGTAGCATTGCTCTTATGAAGCTGATGTCTTATGCAAAGCCTAGTGAAACAGCAGGGCTTTGTTAATGAGGAGCCCTGTATTAAGAAAATGGGTAACAGAGCTACCACACCTTAAGGCAGCTGCTCAGCCACAGCCAGCAGGCTGATAACTCGCATCTGTGGCTTCTTCCGTCTCCCTCCTGCATCTGAACGCATCCCTTCTTGCTGTGCTCTGAAGCCTCATAATCCTCTGACACGAAGCCCTGTTGCAGTTACACAAATGAGAAAATGAGGGACATGGTAATGTGCTAGGTAAGCAGCTGGATATTCCAGTGAGCCACAGTGTGCCTAAGTGTGCAGTGTGTCAAAGGAGCTGAGCAGCACCCGCTCTGATCCTCTACACCAAGAAATATCCAATTATTTGTTTTAGGGCACTTGTGAAGACACTGGAGAGCTGTGCTGTCAATGCTGGCAGGGAGCTAGGGGGGCAGCAGCTACTTCCTGGCTCAGTGCTCTAAGCCTACAGCATGCATGGTTCAGTTTTCCTCCTGGCTTTGAAGTCCTTGGTCACAATCCAGAAACAAAACACTATAGTAGGGCTGCCAAAGTCCTGTAGAAGTGTGCTGTCCTGGGTCTGTCAGCAATTGTAAACATCTCAAAGAAATTTCACCTCCTTTAAAAAAACTTCCCTTCTCAGGCATGTGCTTTAAGTTTAGTTGATACGTGTGTGAACATGTAGGGGCACATAGGCAGGCTTCTCAAGGTAAATGTCTTTGCTGGTTAGCAGATATCAGAGGATTCAGGTCTGCAGTTACCCCAGAAAAGCATAAAGGTTTCTGTTTGTCAAGCTACTTCATAATTTCCATTAAATAGTAATTTTTCCACTTTAAAAGGCCTAATGATACTCCATACAAGCTGTACAGGAAGGACAACTAAGCATTATAATCCAGAAGATAATGGTTCCCCCCCCCCCTTGATATGACTTTCCTGTAGTTCTGAACTATCACTGTCAGCTAATCCATGGGAAATTTAGCGATGTCAGTAGGGATGACATATTAAGCTAGAGGTCTGTTGCCAACATCGGTCTACAATACTAACAGAAATATTTATTTTTCCCCCCTTTTTCCCCTCTGGATCAAAAGGGGAATCTGTGTAATACTGAAGTCCTCACAAAAAGAAGAAGATTATCAAACCTATCTGTATAACTAGACTTAGCAGTTGGTGCTTGTTGTTTACAAACAACTTCACAGACATCTATTGATTGAGCGTCACAGTATCCATAGATGCTATCAGCTTTAATTCTGTCAGAACAGCTTAGGAAAGAGGTTTAGTGACCCACCTAAGGGGTGAGATGAGAATCTATGATGAATCCAGCTTTCCTAAATTCAAATCCTGATTTAATGATCATATTTGTCTTTTGCATTATGTTGCCACATCAGGAGCAACTGTATCAGGTAATCTCACAGAAGGGAAACAGATAAAGGCAAGATGCCACGTAGAAGATGTACACAGAGGCTGTCCTGCCCCTTCCTAACAGCTGGAAACTGCCGCATCTTGGCAGCATCCCCCAGCTTCTGATTCCCATTAGCTTCAAAGTCAGTGAGATAATTGCTGGCTTGCACAGGAGGAAGAGATCACTAATCAGCCAGGTGGTGTCACAATGACTTCTTCACCAAGTTTCTACAACCTGACTTTTTGGAAAAATTGAAGTGTGGCCTCGGGTATCATCTGTGAAAGGCTGCTTCCTCCAGGTCAACCAGATTGCATCTTAGGAGTTCAATGGTGATGCCCGTAGGGCCACCTGGTCACAGGGTGCTAGTTTAGCCTTCTCATTTCCAGCAGCTAAATTACTTTAAGTAATTAATGTTCATTAAATGCTCTCCTAATGCTGCCTTATCATCCAAGCAATGGCTGTCACAGAAATGTTAGTGGCTGCAAATAAGAGGGGAGGTGACTGGTACAATCAGGAAGGAGACAAAGACACCAGAGATATTCCAGTTTCTCTGGAATCTCACATCACAGTAAAGCAAGGGAGACTCCAGAGCAAGATGCAAGGGATGTAGATGAGAGACTACTCTTTGGTCATTCTTAGATGAGGTATCAATGGGAGCAGGTGCTGTTAGCAAAAGAACAGCACAACCTCAAAGCCCAGTCCAAAACTAATAAGTCTTGTGTGTTTGTTAGTAGTACACCTTTATGAAGACTTTCCTTTACTGCTTTTCAGGATCTTATCAAAAAGGCTTTATTGAAATAACTAAACCCAGCTGGTAAGCTGTGTTGAGGTCTGCCTAGAACAAATGAAGTTTTAGCTGTTTAGAAGCAGTTACATGGATTGTGACAGTCATCAGGAGCATCAGTGACAGTTTCTGTAAGGTACTGTTCCTTCTCCATAGTCAAGGTGAAAAGAGGGCAGGCACATGCAGAACAATTGCAACATGCTCAGCATGTTGCAAGATCTCACACTGGTGGCAGGACTTGTCTCCTGTGCATAAAATAAGTAGAATTTTCACATTGTATACTTGACTATGCTTTTTATGTGTCAAAGGAAACTATTGCTTGTGCTCCACTAGAGTTTTCTGTTTAGTTTAACTGAGTAGTCAGCTTCCACTGTTCAACAATCATGATCCTGCCTGAAAGCAGACAAACACCCATTGTCTAAAATGCACCTTCTAGCATAAATGAACTTGAAGCTAGTAACTGTACTGAGAATCAGTGCTCTATTGCCAGCAACCAGGCAAGACACCATCCAATTAAGGGCATGGCTGGCATTCAAATGCCCATGATTGTAGTGCACTCCAATGTGTATGTTCTCCCTAAGGAAGCTAATGGGGAGAAGAGGATCTGAATACTAATGAAGTACAAAGGATGATTTTAGTGCAAAACTCCCAACAACTTGCAAGTTGTTAACCTGAAGATAGGTACTTTTTCTGTTCTTTTCCTAAATGCACTTAATGAGACTTCTTAATTTAACACCGTAAGAAATTATGGGTATGGGTTCAGGTGAGAACAGTGTGTTCTTGAGGCAACAGCAGACTCCTGGGTAAGGGGCATGCAACAATTTGTCCCTAGACCCTTTCCCAGCTTCTATCAATCAGAATTTAGTCCCATTTCATGGTTTCTTCTTCTATAATTGTGCCTAATTGCTTTTTGAAACCATGTAAACTTCTGGCATCTACGGCAGCTTGTGTCAATGCTTTCCATCCAATTTGAAATCCTTCCCATTATGGTTGCCCCAGGAACAATTTTCTAAGAAAGATTTCTATTGTTATTTGGAAACCTTAGTTTCCCGTGCTAAAGGACATAAAGCACTAAGTATTCTTTTGCAAGGAATTCTGTTACACATTGCACAAATCAGCACTGTTCTTAATAGATATTCACAGCATCTATTGCTAGAATGAAGACCAAGTTATTACAGAGCATACTGTGAGTGCAAATTAAAAAAATAATGCACAACAGTCAACCAAATCCTAATGAACCAATGGCACAATGTCAAATCCATCAGGAACAAAGACCTCTAATACTATTATTAAAAGCCCAAACAAAGCAAGTAAATCAACCTTGGCAAACACTGTTCAAGTAACTTTCACTTGTTGTAGATCAGTGTGCAAGCTGATGGTACAGCCCATACTGCTTCAGAGTGCCTGCACAATAGATGAGAGCTGTGACTCCTAATGCAAGGGTTCTCATTGTGCTGTATGGTCAGCACAATTACATCAAACTAATTACATCAAACTTAACATTTCTTTCCAGCAGTGAGTATGGACAGTGTGCCCAGCTGCTTATCTGCACAAAAATCTAAGTTTACAGTCACATTTATTGAAGTATGAGTGTAAAATGCCATGAGAAACCAGAGTGGACTCAGATCATACTTAATAATGCAGTGATCAGGCAGTATTCTTTATGCTTATGGAAAGCCACAGTAAACAAAAATACTGTATCTAGGCAAAGAAAGGCAATTACTTGTAAGAAAAGAGAGGGACAGCTCTCTGAGGGGAGGATTATCTATGAGTTTGTTCCAAGGCAGTGGCCTGATGGCCTTCTCCAGGCTGGCTCTTTGGGCTTGTAGTGCACTGAAGAAAAAAAAAGTAAATCTGGAGCTACGTTTTTTTTTCCCCAATCCTTACATTTCTTTTGTTGAATCTCACGTATATGGACACATGTAGATATGTGGGGATAGATTACTTTGTTGGTGCTAAAGAAAACAGCAGACTGATACAGAGCAAAATAACCACATGGGTTTAAAGGAACCTGGAACCAGGAGGATTGGACCTCTACCTCCAAACTGAGGAAAAGCCATTAACCTCATTAATGGAAGTTAGAAATATGACCTCCTAGACTGCAGTCTGAACTTATTTCCACATAACACTGATCCTCCCCTTTTTTACTCTGCAATAAAAAGTGTTTGAATGCTTCATAGAAACATCACTGCTGCAAATCCCAGATTCTCTATTTCCCATATCCTGTCCTTTTGAAGCTATTTGCAGTTACATAGTGAATGCTGATAAGGCTGTGGTGCAGGAAGGTGCCAGTGTACCCTTGCCCCTGTGCCTGCAGTGCTTGTGACCCAGAGGGATGTGAGTTCTGAATGGAGCTTGTAGATGCAAGGTACTCAGCTTAGAACC